AGTTTACAACTCAATTCCTTCTAATTCATTACTCGATCAATGTAATTTGTTTGAAGTCTTTAAACCTTTATTAAATTTAGACATGTTTAATACATTTTAATATTTTATGACCCGATAAGTCCATTATCTATATGACCCGACTTGATTATGACTTGAGTCAATTGACTCGTTTCAACTCATTATTCGATTAGCCCAACTTATTTATAACTCATATTAATTAACCGAGCATATTTATGACTGGAACCAAATTTCAACTTTTTCTAATTTCGTTACCTATAACCTAATTTGTTTAACTCATAACTCAATTTTAATTTGATCTGATTTGAATTCATGTATGGGTCGTAACCTAAGGCATTTGATTTGAATTCGTGTATGAGTATAAATGTATGAGTCATAACTTGTTATACGTACAATATGACCTAATAAACCCTATTCTTTATAACCTGCTCAATAATATCCTAATTCACTTGATTTGTTTAACTCTCTATTCAATCAACCCAGTTTGTTTTGTGACCCTTATTAATTAATTATGACTCCGTGAGTTAGGATTTTACCCAATTCTTCATAACCTGCTCAATTACATCCTAACTCACTTGATTTGTTTAATTCACTATTCAATCAACCCAACTTGTTTTATGACCCTTATTAATTAATTGTGAATTTGTGAGTTAGGATTTAACCCAACTTGTTTTGAACCAAAACTCATTTTTAAATCGACTGAGTTCAACCGTAACCGATTATGACCCGAACCGATTATAATCCGATCCGATTAGGACCCAATCTGTTTTGACCAGAAAACCGTTCTAAACTGGAAAACCCCATTTTCAAACTGACCAAGTTAAACCCGAACCAATTGTGACCTCAACCAATTACAACCCGACCCGATTAGGACCCAATCTGTTTGACCCGAAACCCGCTTAAAATCGAAAAAAAATCCGTTTTCAAACTGTTGAGTTCAACCCGAACCAATTATGACCCGAACTGATTACAAACCGATCTGATTAGAACCGCACCCGAATAGAAACCGTAGTTAAAAAAACCCAAACCGAACTGACCCGATTTTATTTAAAATTGAACTGAACTGAACCGACCCGTTAATTCTTTAAACCCGTTATAAACCGACCCGTTACAAACCGAAAATTTATAAACCGAACCGTTAACCCGATTGACACCTTTACTAAATTATTTAAGCCTTAAGAATTTCATTGTTTACGCTTACATATACACACTAATACACAACATACAGCTAAATCAAACCCATAGTTCATTTATTGGAAAAAAATAACCAATCTAATTTTGTAGACCGAGATTGACAACTTGATACTGTAAAATGAAATTCCCAAATCCCAAGCAATTCATTACTTCAACTATAATCATGTCAACTAATACTGTTAAGAGTGCTAAATTATCAGATTTATTACAACTTATACAAATGAATAATTGAATATCTCAATAAAAATTAAGAAAAATCTAAAAATAATTAAACAAAGGATGAACAAATTATATTTGATGAAGAAAGAGAATACCTGTGATGGTTGTGAATACTTACGAAGTTGCGGAGAAATTTAACAGTCGTGGAGCCGGCACAGGGATAAGGCGATGACGAGATGAGTGAAGAACATGTAATCATGTACCTCTGTAAGAGAGGGGAAGGTCGGCTGTTTTGGTTGCTTGTTTTAGGGTTTTTTGGTTGTTTGAACTTCTAATAGAATCCAGTCTGATTAAGGTTTTTTGTTTACAATATATATTTATTTAAAAAAAAAAAAAAAAAAAAAAAAAAAAAAAAAAAAAAAAAAAAAAAACAGGTCTATGGATCGGATATAGGTCGGGTCTGGGTCTAGACTTAATGGACCCGAACCCAGACCCGACCCATAACACTTGGACCCAGATCCATCGGGTCTAAAATTTAAGGAACTAAACCATAAAATAAAAAGGTAGAATATAGCATTTGGAACGAATGTAACTTTATACATAATTTCATTTTGACTTGAACTATAAATGATTCAAAGTGGGGCATCATAGGTTGAGCAACCAACCATGTATATGCATGCATTTCTATTCAAAAAAGAAAGCTTTATCTAATATAATATTTCATATATATCATATAAAATAGTTGGTGGATACAATTTTACTTTATATGGATTTCTCATGGTTTCAGAAATTTCAAAATGTTTAGAAGGATATGTCATGTTTCCATAGGACATAAGTACATACTAAATATACTTACACTAGTAGAAAAAGCTATTTGTAACTAACAAAAACGGGGTACTTGTAACCAATATTGGCCGTTACAAATACTAGGGTTACAAATATTCCTATCATTTGTAATAGACATTGTCCGTTACAAATAGGTACTTATTTGTAACTAACATTTCAATTGTCAGTTACAAATGTATTTGTAACTGACAATTGAAATGTTAGTTACAAATAAGTATATTTGTAATGGACGATTGATATGTCACATACAAATACTCAATTTCAAAATTAAAAAAAAAATACGTAGCAAATGCTAGGCTGAGATATTTAAATGCAACATAATAATACTTTTACTAGCATAATGCCCGTGCGATGCACGATTTATAAATCAAATTATTATTTTTTGAATAAAGTATTATTAATCCCGTAGGGAAAAAAAACTAACATAATTCAATTAGTAATAAAGGGTTCATTTTTACTAACAAATTAATTTTGTCATTTGGATTTATTTTATTTCCTTTTTTTATATATAATGTTATTTGTTTATTTGAAAAATAAATGAATAATACTCACATAATTATAAGAGATATAACTATAAACTACCTCCCATAGATATAAACTAAAATTTTCTTACCATAAGCAGCTATACAATCAAATATTTGTTTTACTCGTTGTATTCGCCAAATTTTAGACACAATAATAACTTACCTTATATTTGACCCACCACTATATATACATTTTTCCTAAGCAAATCATTGTGTCAAAAACAATTACGGAGTACATAATATCCATACAACCAATCAACAACTGATAGAATATACAACACAAATATATAGATATGCATTTGGTAAATTTTTATACGAATGAAAGATATTTATTAAGAATAAAAGATAAATTTCATCAACTACCCAATCATGTATGTAAATATATTTTTGTATGGATATGTATTCTTATACTGTAATTATTTAAATTTTGAATTTTAGCATGAAATTAGTAAGGAAATATGAAAAATTAATGGTTAAAGAAAAATAATATTTTAAAAGTGTACGAAATCTTTAATTATTATATATGCGTAAATTTTTGGCATAATTATTGTTAGGAAAATATTGTTTAACTCTTTTTTAAGAATTTTACATTAGATATTGTAGACACCCATTTGTGTCTCCCCAAAACCAAACCCGGTGATTAGTGCCTTTCACGTCGAATCATAATCGAATGAAACGAAAGTGTGGAAAGGTCTAGTGTAGCGGAAAGTTTTATTTCTTTTCTCTTCTCCCTGTTTTTGAAAACTTTATTTTAAGAAAACAGTCAATCCAATTTGGTTGGTCCATGATATGGGTTCAATAGTGGTGTAGTTGGATGGGGATTGCAAAGACCTTTCCAACGATATATTATAAGCCCAATTCCGATGAATATTGAGGAAGTTATGGCCAATTTACTAAACTGGGCCCGGTTTGAGCTTTATGTACGGCCTAATGATCTAGGGGGGCCTAATATAATTTATCATTCCTAATGCAATTAGGAATGGTTTTAGTCTTCTAGAACATTCTAGAAGGTTCTTATCATTCCTAATTCAATTAGGACTCTTCAGAGTTTTAATCAAGATCAAATAGCATTTTCGATGGAATTATATTATTTTATCTTCCAGTACGGGAAATTTATCAGATTTTTCGAAAACGCGTTAAAAAAATGTTTGCCGTCCAACCCCAGGCCTTGGCGCCTGGAACCAGGATTGGCGTCAGGCGCTGGCCCTGGCGCTAGCCACTGGTCCTGGCGCCAACTAGCCTGGGCTGGCGCCAAGGTGGTTTTTCGATCTTCAGACTCTGTTTTGTTAAATTATCTTTTTTGGATGATTTTCTCTATAAATATCGTATTAAAAACTCCGTTTTAATTCACCAAGAATCATCAATTCTCTTCTTCATTCATCAACTCTCTTCATTCACAGATCATTCAATTCTCTTCTTCATTCATCATCATCTTTCTTTCATCAATTCTCAATAATATTCATTCTTTAGTATTCTTAAATAAACTTTGCTTTTTAATACAAAATTCCGCATTCACAAGATCTTGATATACCTAGCCATATTCGAAGTTGCCTTCGCCCTAGACGTGAAAGGTTTTAATTTCTGAGGGTTTGGTCCCAAATCTCTTTTTCAATTATTTAATTTAATTGTTTTGATTATTATTTTTCCTTGAAGTTACTAATGTGTGTATTTTGTTATTAGAAAGAGGTACGAGGCATCCAAGTACTTTAATGGTTTAATTGATATTATGATGTAGAATCATGCTTAGAGTGTTATTTTTAATTCCTAGTATCATGTATAGGGTAAATTTAATATCAAGTATGATTAAAAGTACGATGTTTTTCCTAATATTAATTCATGTTAGTATCATACTAGGGCTAAAGATTTGATTTTTATTGTTTAGTGACATGCTAGGATTTGTTATTAATCTTGTTAGTATCATGCCTAGGATCTTGCTACTATTATGCTTTAATATTAACATGAACATGATAATGATTATAATTGTTATAATTTATGATGATTATTATTATTATTATTATTATTTTGATAATGATTATTTTATTTATGATTATTATTGTTTTGATTATGATTATAATTTTATGATGATTATAATTATTATTGATTATTATTATTGTTGCTTGATATTTATATAATAAAGACTTCTTAAGGTTAGTACCAAGTATTCTTTTGATCGAGATCTCATGTTAAGATAGATCTCACAAAAATATACACATACGTACATTGAATATAATCCTCATTCTGCAATCATTACCACCCATATTAAATTAAAGCAGACCCTTCCATTATATACATACATACATACATACATTATTTGTAAATTAAAGCATAGGAAATACAATCAAATTAAACAAACTAATTCTACATGAGACTATGATTGGCGCTTTCCCTAAAAAAAAAAAAAAAAAAAAAAAAAAAAAAAAAGTGAGAGAGAGAGAGAGACAATTAAAAAAATACATACAAGTAAATTTGACATGTAGATTCTGATAAATTCCTTGAATAATCAATTTAAAAAACCGTTTACCTGATAAGAGATGAAGAGATCAATCTTAGCTCGTATTCGATAACTCAATAAACTAGGATATGAGGAAATCAAGACAAAAATTTTATGCATCATGTATCATACACTACCTTTTTCATATTTCACTTTGAAAACCCCTACTATTAATTTGCAAATAGCAAACTTCTCGGCCAGATTTTGTTATTGTATTCATTCTTAGTGCTAAATTAGATAGAATACACTCCACTAACTAGGAATAGCCACTTGAAAAAAAAAGGATTTAATTACACTCTAAAAGTATATATATCAATAGACAACATGAAATGACGTTTCTTTACACCCAATTTCTAGTTTGTAACAATATATCCAATTCATCGGCAACCTTTAAAAGTAATATAGGAATCAATTTTCTAATCTTTTAATCACAAATTGATCAAGAGGCATTCAAATGCAGATCATACAAGAAAGATTAATCAAATATCCATTTCACAAAATAGAAAAAACAATTAAACCCACATGAAAAAATCAAAAAATACAAAAAAAAAAAAAAAAAAAAAAAAAAAACATAAAACATAAAACATGTAATTAAAGAATTAAAGGGGATGAGAGAAAAACTGAATGTTCGGAAAGGTAAAAGAAATGAAGGAAGGGACGCGATTGAGTAAGACTTTAACGACATCATTCAAAATCCTTTACCTAATGTCAATCAAGATAACCACCAAATCACGAATCCAAAATCAAAACCTTAACCCACAAGAGAGAGAAAGAGCCAAGCTAAGGAGGAGAGGTGGCTTCCGCTGCTCGGCAAAAGTCTAAAGCTTCTGCAGTTAATCAAGGTGGTCGCGAAAATCATCAATCCATTGTCGCCACCATCACGACCATTAGTGAATGAGGCCGTAGAGAATAAATAGAGAGGTAAAGTGGGTCGGCGGCATAGAAAGGAACGGCGGTGGAGTGAAGAATGAAAGAAAGGGCCAACAGTGAGTGAAGAGAGATAGAGAGAGAGAGAGGAGGGAAAGAGGCGGTAATGAGAGAGAGAAGAGAGGAAATTAGGGTTTCTCGAGAGAGAATGAGAAAAGAAAAAAGAAGCGGTAATAAAATTAGAAAAAAATATCCTTCCTATTTGTAACCAAATATAGGTGAGTTCGTTACAAATAAGATGTATTTGTAACCAATTATATATTGTTCGTTACAAGTAAGATATATTTGTAGCTAATATTACACTGTCCGTTACAAATAATATCCTATTTGTAACAGACAAAATTAATGTTAATTACAAATAGTATTTGTAACTAATAAAAACTTGTTGATTATAAATAGGGCGTTACAAAGAGCATTTTTTCTACTAGTGTTAAGAGTTATATATATAAAGTGTTATCTCCCTTAATGAGGATTAAGGGAGGTATTTATAACCTCGGGAAACGTGTCAATCTAGGTTTAGGTTAACCTTGGGCTGCTTGGGCTTCCCTCGGAAGTTGGGCCTAGGTGACCGGTTATCCCAGGTGTCATGGGAAGGACACGTGTCGTGTCGTAATTGGTCCATGGTGGACGGATCATTGCTTGACACGTGGCAGGCTCCTATTGGCCCATGTGACGGACACATGGCGGAACCTGATTGGTCCACTTGTCAGATGGTGATTGGTGGGGAAAAATCCCCTAATCATTTTCCCCTCACAGGTGGCACGTGACTGGTCACGTGTTACCTGTGACAGGTATCGCCCTGTAACAGGCGACGGCCTGCTACAGGTGTCACTCGGCGAGAGGCCGAGAGATTCTCCCGCCAAAATTTTGAATTCTGGAAGTGACCCTTCGCCTTCTCACTTCGCCTATATAAAGGAGTGTTGACTTCGGTCATTTTCACACTTGAAAACTTTGTGAGAGAACATTCGGACCCCTGAACTTGCTCTGACATTTTGGACTCTTTCTGCCTACCGCCTGCTCTGACAAGCCGACTGCAAAGGATTTTCAGAACTTCATCAATCGTCACTCGTTCAGGTAACCGTCGGTTCCCTTACTCTTAATTTTCTCTTTACTTTATTCTTTTTTGAAATGGCACCACGGAAGCACACGACACGACCTAGGTTAGTGATCAGCCGGTCACCGGGGACGGCTAAATCTAGGACTAGGAGTACCGCCTGCCCTTTTCTGGACCCATCTTTGCCCTTTATACAAAGTCCGACTGTATCTGTGTCTATGCTGAACATGATGCCCAGAACAAAAAAGACTGCCAGGATCTCAAATTCAGATGGCTCCTCCCACAGGGTGCCGATTAGTGAAACATCTGACCAGGCGCCAGATGTGGAAGTGAAACAAAGCGGCTTGAAAGCCGGCAGTTCTGAGGGAGGAGTCAAAGTGACCCCTTCCCATTTTACAGTTGACAATTCTTCATTCTCTCCTGCTCCTTTTAAAGGAGAGGAGGCGGGCCCTTCTGGGAGAGGGGAAGAGTCGTCCTCTTCGGACTCGTCAGAGGACGATTCCGAGTCTAGCTCTTCTGGCCATGCTTCCCTGGACACAGAAGAGAAAAACAGTCGCCTACAAGAGGCGAGGCTTTCTCACGCAGTTGAGAAGGGGGACGCTTGGGCGAAGCCATCCGCCTCTCACCGAGAGCAAAATACCCCTACTACTGCACGGTACCTCGCGGCCGGATCACGGCCATGCAAGAGAAAGTGGAGAGCTTTATTGCAAACCACACAATGGGCCCCGGCTTTTTAGTGTTCGTACCGGATCCAGAAGACACAGTCGTCTGGCCGGCTGGTACCAGTTATGATGGCGCCTGCTTTGGCTGCTACGAGGCGGCCATCAAGGCTGGGCTGCGCTTCCCACTACATCCGGCTGTTCAGCGGATCTTGGATGGGTATGAGTTGGGGTTATGGCAGTTAGCCCCGAACTCCTGGGTCAACGTACTCGGCTATGTGGCCGAGTGCGAACTGCACGGGGTGGAGCCGAGCTTCGAGGCTTTCGCCCACATGAACTACCTCAACCGGTCCCCTAAGGCAGGCGGTACCGGCTGGTATCAATTGACGAGCCACAGGGGCTACCTCATGACGAGAGGTAAAGCAAACAAATGGAAGGACTGGCGGAGCACCTTCCTTATCATTGAGAGTTCAGACACAGAGCTGAACAAGCGCTTCAACAGGTGGAACAGGAATCCGCCCCTTCTTGCAGGCGGCCTCAGCATGCCGCCTGTTCCCCCCAAGGCTAAGAAAGAGATCCTAGATAAAGGACTCTTCAAAGTAGAGTCGAAGGTGAACTCTACTTCAGGGGTACGAGAGCAAGTACCCCTGCACTGCGTCCCGAGCTTCAAATGGCTCTACGACGAGTACTTTTTGGCCGCCTGTGGCCTCAGCAGTCGGTGCTCAAGAGGTAGCCGGCCTGTCGAATATTCTGTTGTTCCATGCATTTCTTGTTATGACTTTTATTAACTTTGCTATTTGTTTTTGCAGCGGACGCCATGAGCAAAATTACCGCCTCCAAGACTGCGGCGGCCATGTTGCGGGCCTCCATCATGCAACAGTCTTCAACCGACTCCCCCAACAAGGGGGCACCCTTGGTGGGCTTCGAACCTTTCACCCTCTTTTTGGAGTTGTGTTTATGTATATACTGACTCTTTTCTTCTTTTTTAGACGGGCGCTCCAAGAGCTTCTTCTTCCCAACAGCCGGACCCCAAGGCCCGGAGGACGACTGTTGCGAGCTCTCCTGGTTCTGCCAGGAAACATGTGGCGGCTGAGAAACAGCCGGCCACTTCTTCTAAAACTCTAGCTGGGCCACCTAGAAGTATGAAATTGTCCTTGTAAATTTTAGACTTGCTCCCTTCTTTACTAGGTCTAATCCGTTTGTTTATGCTTCATGCAGCCGGCCCTCAGGAGCCTGACTTGGTCGAGGTGGCCAAGTCTATGATCAAGGTCGTTCCTCCAGTTGAAAGGGAGGCGGTCAGGGGTGTCGGCACCCTTGACCTAGACGGGATTGCAGGGGTCCTTGCTGAGGTATACTTAGCATATTTTTGAGTATTTGAATTCCAGGACGCCTGTTTTCTTTTTGTTTGGAAACTGACGCCTGTTCCCCTTTGTACTTAGGCCCTGCTCCGAGTGAACGGCCTTCGCAAGCCGCTTGACCGAAAGAACAAAGAGGTAAAGGCTGCAAAAGCTATGGCCGCCTCTGACTGTGATAAGGCAATGTTTCAAATTGCCCAAAATGAAGTTCTGACCATTGATATTCTTTATTATCAGGTGCAGGCTACCGCCGCTATCCGGGCTCAGTTAGAGGCGGCCCAGAAGAGGAATAGCGAGCTGGAGGCGACCATCAACAACCTCAAGGCCGAGCTGAGACCTCTTCGCCAAAAGATGTCCTCATACGAAACCTTGGAGAAATCCTTGGCGAGCGTAAAGGTACGCCTGGTGACCCAGGAGAAGAGTCTTACTCAGGAGCTCTCGGAAAAGGCCGAGCAAGAAAAGAAAGAGCTGGTCCGGGAGATGATGGAAGACTCTGCTCAAATCCAGCGCATGACTTGGGGCCGCCTCTTCCCCAATGCCGACTTTGCCTCATGGGAAAAAACGTACCGCCAGTGTTCTGATAGATATAATCAGGAGATCCTGGCGGCTGCTGAGGAAGAGGCATTGACGGCTGCTGAGGAAGAGGCGTTGGAGGAGGAGGAGCAGCCGGTAGTGACGCTTGTGCCGCTTGGGGGTAATGCATCAAAGAAGGATGCAGCTGAAGCCGAGTCCAGCAAGAAGAGTGCTGACCAGGCGGCAGCTGCTAATATTGAAGATCTGCCCCCTTCTTAAGCTTTATGTCTTCTTTCCACGGCCTGCGTGCCGTTTGTTTGTATTTACCCGGCCAGGGGGCCGGGGCTCTGAATATTTTGCCGGTCTTTAATGACCGGCTTCTTTTTAATGAATTTTTTTGTTTTGCTTCAAATTTGTTTAAGTATTGAATATTCTGATATCCAATTGTACACTATACCGACTGTTTTACATGGCCGACAGTTGCAGACAGGTACGGATAGTTAGTCACGCCGCCTATGCCCCTGGACGACTGGTTGTCTGTTTCCAGGCTAGACGATCAGTCGGCCATTTATCCAATCGGTATTCGAACCATTTTAAAGACTGGATCCCCTTTAGGCAGGCGGTCCTGTCATTTGTAAAATTAACCAAGTAGGAAAGTGGTCTGACCAAGTAAACATGATTGTTACCTAGTCGCCAAGTAACTGAGTAGTAGAGGTATCAAGCGGTTGGTACCGGTTGTTCCCCTTTATTCGCCAATGTTTGTTGGCTTTTAACTCATAGGTTGTTAACCTAGCAGGAGTAGTGGTTGAGAGCCCCTGTTTGCTAAAAACAGGCGGACGACTCATACCTTTTAGGCTCCATACTAAGTTTGAGAGAGTGACTATGAGTTAACTTTGGTGTTACTCAGTCGCTGTCACTCCTGCTTGAGTAGTAAAGGTACCAGGCGGCGGAGGCCGGCTGAACCTTTTGATTCGCCAATGTTTGTTGGCTATTAACTCAAGAGGTACCCCCTGCATTTATCCCAAGTAATACAGGCGGTCATCTGACTCAGATGTCAACTGCTACCACTGGTTTGGTTAGTGATAGAGTTATCCTTGTCTCAGAAACGGCTACGTGGTTGCCCTTGGGGACAGTCGTATAGGTGCCGTGTAATTAGTTTATAGAGCAATGTTCCACCCAAAAGGGAGCTGCTCTCTGCGACGAATTTCATCCGGAGGGATGCCGCCGGACGCCTGCTATGATGTTGGGACAGGTCGTATTAGTTTTGCAGATTGGATCAGTGGGCTTGGCGCCTGGTCTGATCATTCGGCCTGTGGCCTTGGTTAGTTCTTGGTGAACGTAGGTGCTAAGTAAAAGGAGGGTAGCCGCCTGTTTAGGCACAGGGTCGGCCAGGCCCTGATCACTTTTAGTTAAGTATAAGGGGGGTGGCTGTGTGTTTGGAACCAGTCGGCCCTCTTTTATGGAGAGTAGCCGACTATATGTCCAGACGGCATGCCCCTATGGTGATAGAGTAAAATATTCAATGGAGAGTAGCCGACTGTAAAGGTACAGGCGGCATGCCCCTCTGAAGATAGAGTAAAATACTCAATGGAGAGTAGCCGACTGTAAAGGTACAGACGGCATGCCCCTCTGAAGATAGAGTAAAATACTCAATGGAGAG